TATGGAATTCCTGCAGTCGTTTCTCAGACCTCATTTTTTCGCGGAACCGGCGGTGGGGTCGCGAATTGTCAGCTGTTTTCTCCGGGTTAATTAAAAGACACTGAAATAACCGGGGGCAACTGCACCTATTTGAAAAATTGTTTGTGATTGGCTGGGAAAACAATAGGGATTGTGACATAACAATACCTCTATCCCTAAAAAAAATGAAGTGCAGATTAAAGGGGACCAATGAAATAAGAGAATGGTGCAGGTCAACCGAAATAAGCTAGTGCTTTCGAAGTCGTTTAGTTCATAACCACAGTACAATGCCAAAGCTTTGTTAGAGAGCTTTAGATTTGTGGACGAGAATGACTACCACCTATTGACAAAAAATAGACAGCCCGGAATACTTCATTCAAGATTGACTTTCTTTTACCAGAAAAGTTAGCCCTGTTATCTTTAGTAAAGGAGGTTACACCCTATTCTGATTGCAAAATAATAAAACTTCTAAGATTTGATAATTTGTTTCTGCCACTACGACATTCTCACTAAAACTCGTAGTAGAATGACTTCAGCTGTCACGTTTTCCCGCCAAAATGACGCTGGTTAACGCATGCACGCACACTACTTAGTATTGAGAAAATCTCTTACTCGTGGTTTAGTCACCCAATTCTAATTCCTAATTGGCTTTTTCCTTTTATGATTTTACAAAGACAATGTTATTGCAATTAGGTGAATCTAAAATGTATTTGCAAATAACATTCAAAGTCCCTACCTGCATGTTTTGTCCATTCAAATGCGAGTTGTCACCAATGACTGATAAGTAGTAATCATAAAATTCTGGAAATGATTTTTCCATTACATCTCTGAAACAATAAAGTTCCACATCAACAAGGCTCTTGATCAATTTCAAATCTAAGCAGGCAACCAGAGCAGCCTGCATTCCTAATCTGCAGGTCGCTATTATCCATGACTGGCACATATGAAGCCAGCATTCGTTTGGACTTCCACTAAGAATGTTTTGAATAGAATGCATAGAATGCAATCTGATCATGTGCGTTTGGACCTTCTGTTTGGTTGCAAGACAAATCCATAAGCTAAAAAGGAGGGTTTCAATAATTTATTATGCATAGGGAATGCTGAATTTAACAAACATCTCTCTGTCATAACTCTAAGTATTAGTTAATGAACACCACAACAACAAACAAAAAGCTTTAACGGATCATGTCCTTTAACCTCAGGACCAGTGTCAATATACTTATATTACTGTCCTAATATCAGTTAACCTGCAAGTGGTGATTTCTCCAGGACACTGCGATTGACCATTTGCTTCTTTGATTGAGCAACTGTCTGTCTGCCATGGATGATTAAATTAACTCTGAACAGGTAAAACCTGTAAGGCTCTTGCGGATTTGCTTACACTTATAACTCCTTCCTTAATGTGAGCCTGCTTTGAATACGCATTCATTTTTTCCGTCCTTATCATGATACAGCTGTAATTCCTACCCATTACCTTGTCAAATGTTGGCGAACCCTACTGGATTTGAATTTGTATGGACCATATCCAAGTTCAGATTTAGAGAATAAAATTTCATCATTGCTTGTTTATGTTCGTAATAAAATGCAAAATAAAATAAAAATAAAATGGCAAAGAAATGTACGAAAGAGTGTGATGCACGTGTAAAGTTTTTGTTTTGCTTATTAAAGCTGTTTTTGTTATGGTCTTTTTGCCATTGCATTTTAGGTCCCTTAAGTTTCCTGTGAATCAAGAGGAAGTGATGTTATTTGATGCTTTGACGTAGGCATCAAGTGGATGTGTATGCTTGATGGAAAAGCAAATGATCACTTGCTGTGGTTTATCTTCCTTTATAGCATAGTGTCCAGCCTGGAGAAACCACTGCTCACAGAGTAAATATCAGTATAATGTTCAGCTCACCTAAGTGCTGAGGGACATTTAAGTTTTCCTTCCAACATATCACAGACTGCAACTCTGAGGCTTTCATGCTGGATACATTCATTATATCGCTTGTAGTCCCCAGCCTGGCGCTCCTTAAAATAGTCAACAAATCAGCTGTGAGAAGTAATCTATTTTTCAGGACAATTTACGGCTGCCATTGAGGTATTTCCTATCAGACAAAATACTCCTCCTGTTTGACACCTAACAGTGAATAACTCGTGCCAGCAAGTAAAAAATGGCAGTAATGGAGGCGGGGATAGACTCCAAGCATCTTTTTAAACATCTCAGTCCACCTACTTCCCCGACCATTTTGAGGAAAACTGTTTCTTGTGTCAAAATGTAAAATATGAAAATGAAAATGTGTAGTGTAGGAGGGGGGGGGCTTCTAACAAAAACAAGCTATCTTGATGCTTCAGGTCTGCTAGCCTTACTTTTGGTCTAAATATAAATGCCCCCCAAGGCCCCTTTCCCAAAGATCCACCATAACATATTTTCCTAATTAATTGTCTCTCACTCCAAGCGCTAAATATAAAGATACAATGTATGTAAAAAACTTGCTGTTCTAACTTTTGAAGTCTGAGTGAAATTGAATTCTGATTTCTCATTTACTTTTCACTTACTCTCTAGATAATAACTGTAAGTACATCATAAGACACCATGCCAGTTTACCTGTTCAAATCCTGGTTCATTGTGATATGGTTTTTCATTTAATAAAGACTGAATAGAAATTAGAACACTGGAAAGGGACTGGGCAGGACTCCAAGCAGGACCAGACCATGTTCTGCAATGGTAAAATAGACACAATTGAATAAGATGTTTATTTTCTTCCTTTAAATTATGACATTAATAGGCCCTTTGCAGCTAGCCATTCATGTGGTACAAAACCGCCACGCTGGAGAGCAAAAGCCACACTGGGACAAGACAAACAAAAGACATACATAATTTTAAATGGTAATTTTCTTTGTTTGCCTTGTCCCAGTGCGACTTTTGCTCTCCAGCACGGCGGTTTTGTACCACATGAATGAATAGCTGCAAAGGGCCTCCAAACTACTTTAGTTTTGAATAATACTGAGTCTTTTTCGTTTCCTTTCGACAGTTTCCAATAATATAGTAACATAGTGCTTTATTTCACAGGGCACATGGTGAGCATGCACAGATGTACAATACGCATGACTAGGAAAAACTGTAGAATTTTGAGAACTAATAATTTAACTACATAATTATGGCATACTGTGCTTATCCTATACATAGGTACATGTCAGCCCATATCTACAATGACGTGTTGATTGCATTTTTTAAACTCAGATTTTTGTCACTTGCATTTGTACTTTCGCCAAGTCTCCAAAAATCAATTTTCTGAAATTTTTGGATTTGAACTCCTACCTAGCCTGAAGAACCTACAGTTGCTCTTGGCTATACCTTGAACAACTCTTACCCTCATCCTGTGCTCTCCAAACTTACTGCATTCCTCCATAACTCAATAATATAAATATTTATACACACTAAGCATGATGTATTTCTTAAACGACACCTTCCTCATCACTTCTTTCAAAAACACATGGTTCCTAGCTAGATATCACCAAAAATCTATTACACTTGCAAGCTACATGTACTTGTAGGGCCCAAAAGGTCAAGGGCTACCAAATCAAATACTCACCCTAGTATACTAAGGCAGACTTTACCATTTCTGTACAAGTTGGGATTAAATCTGACTTGCCCTCCACCTGTTGTCATTAGTTTTACTCTAGGAGGTCTGATAGGGTAGTCAGGAGGGCAGCGTATCAAGAAGTAAAAAAATCCTCCCTCGTATGGGGTGTCAAATGGACCTGTGATCAGAGCGTGAATCTAGAAGATTAAAACAAAAATGGAAGAGTTATTGTGTACAACTGGATGACTATCAATTTAAACATGATTTAACTTACTCTAAAGTTAAAATGAAGACCAAGTTACTGGCAGTTTGAGTTCAAGTACATGTAATTGTCTTTTGCAAAAGAGAGCTCTACATGAACATATTATAATAATTAAGGTAACACCCTTGGGACGCGAAAAAGGTGTCTGTCACTGGAGTTGGCTACTTACAGGAATATAAAAATACAGCTTTTGTATGAGCTGCCCATTTGCGAGAGTGTCTGTTAGGAGAGGTTCCACTGTACTTTGAGGGTTGTTTATCAGCTAGTGTTACAACAATGTACCCTAAAAGACTGGAGAGACAGTATTTCACAGAACTACGTGAACAGGGCAAGGTGTAAGAAACATCCTATTAGTTTTTTAACTCCCAAAGACACCCCTGCATGTATAATCTCAGATCAGCAGCTCCTTACCAGAATGCCGCCCTTAATATACATGTACCACTTGTGTCACATGAAGGACCCAGTGCTTCCAAGATTTTGGAACTTATAAATTACAAATTTAACTTACTTTTTAATGATCACTTTACCGTAGATCTACTATTAATGATCTTAATTAATTTTATATTACAGTATTATTTTATATTGTGTCTTAGTTCTGTAATTCAGCTTTTCCCAGTGCATATGAGGTTTTAAACATCATAAATATGAGCTGAATATAAAAACAATAAAATATACTGTACATGTAGCTGGTAGGCTAAATAGTACATTGACTAACACAAACCTTTGTAATGTCATCTTTGTCAGGAACTATGCACATCCCAGGCGGTGGTTCATTGTATATACTCATTATATCTCTGAAAAGATTATAACATAAATAGAGGATATTACATGGCTGCGTGGAGATACGAAATTTCTCTTCAAGTGTTAAAAAATATTTCACACGTGAGTGCAGCAAACAAGTGAAATACATGTATAATTTTATTAATCACCTGCATGTATATGTACAATGAACCACAACACTATTTCTATAAGGCAGGTTAACCATACCAATGCTTAAAGTTAGCTTTAAGAGGAACTCCACTAGTCCATAAGCATTAATAATTAGCCACGAGCTATGACACTGGAGTAGTAACATTTAGAAGCGTTTACTAATCTCAGTGTTATTTATGTTAAGCACAGTTGAACTTCCATTAAGCAACCATTCTCAGCGTACTGACAAGCCGCTGCTAAATAAAGATTGGCTGCTCAGAAGAGGTTCATCTGGTTTTCGTTACTTTTAGGGGACCATAGCTTTATAGAGGAAAAAACTTACTAAATGCATGGGCAAAATGATGAGTTTATGTGACAATGTGACAAATTTGTATATGCCAAATGTAGAATGTAGCACAACAAAAAAACATGACTCAATTTTAGTTATTTCTGCATTATTCTCTCCTGAATCTACCATATAAAATTGTCTAAAATCCCAAAATTACAAAGAAATGTTCCAACTGCGACATTCAAAGTTTGTGGCTAAAACTGCTATCAAGAATGACCAGTATTTGCATTTCATTTGTTCTTTGTTGTCGAACATATGACATTATTTTTTTCCTTGTTTAAACTTGTCATTTTGCTCGCACACTTACTTGTTTTCCTCTATAAAGCTGGGGTCCCCTAAAAGTAACAAAAGCCGTTCATCTTAAATTACTGTAGAGTAATCTTTGGCAGAAAAATCAATTTTTTTTTAAACAAACATGCGGTGGAAAGGGCATTACCTGTCCACAAATTATCAGCCACCAACATTTCTTTCTCGGGATGTATTTTCTTTCAGCAAATTTTTAAATAGAGCCATTGAACTAAGTGTACAAATATCAAGCACACTGCATGACCCCTGTTTCAGTACACAAATGAAAGATACAGCTGTATGTGATGGAAACAAGCTCCACACAATAATTACTGTCTATCATTTTCAATCTAAACAACAAGTAACATATTAAAGCATGAAACTATCCTATAATACTAACCATGAATTATGATTAAAAAAAGTAAAAAACTTTAAATGGTCAATGCACCATCCATAATTTATTTTTTATATATGTATGTTAACAGGAAATGGTACGAAATAACACATTTACAGAATATAAAATTTACCAGTTCTCCTCTTTTGATATCATTTATTTTTTTTCCACTGACAACCCAATTAAGCTTAATATTTTCAAAACCTGTTCCAAAATTAGGCCATTTGCATTGCTATTAACTTGACAAAGTTTTACATAATATAGCATTTGACTGCTTTCATGGTATTGAACACAAAATCCTCTATAACACTGAGTCTAAAATTTCCAAGCAAACATTTGGCACCTTATACACTGCAATAAACTGGGTTTAAGCTTATTGTTTAGAAATGTACAATCAACAATTTCCAGAAGATGAAGTCTAAAAATTATGCCAAAAATGAGCGGGCAAGCGAGAAAAATATATGCTTTGACTGTGCATCTTCAAAACTAGGCCTCGTTCATTGCTGAAACAGAAGTAAGCCTAAGCTTTTCCCTTTTGAATGAGAAGTTTTTTAAAGATTATTTTTATGATCGTGTGAAGGCTAACGTCTCGTCCGAACACAGCACAAACGAACCTTAAACCACAAAAAAACATTTTAAATGTCACCCTACCTTTTTATTCTTAATACACACTGCGGTGTAACTTTCTCTTTATCCCAGTCTTTTGAATGAACAGGATCCCAAAGCGCATTTGATGTAGCTGCCAAAAATACGTCTTCCTCAGCCATCTTGGATACCGACCGCCTGTTGTTTGTCAATTCTGCTGAGAGTGCGCATCGCACACTAATGACGTCATCTGTCCGAACGTCACGCAAGTCCGTGCGGAGCCCCCTGCAGAATTGTTTTTTCGGTTTTTTTTTCGGTCGATCAAGCAACGGCAAGCACAAAGCTATGGTGGACCACAACTGTCACGGCAAAACCGAAAACCTCACGGCAAAAACAAAAACATCACGGGAAAATCAAAAACCTCACGACAAAAACAAAATACCTCACGGCAAAAAGTGAAAAACAAAATACCTCACGGCAAAACCAAAAACCTCACGGCAAACCCAAATACTTCACAGCAAAAACAAAACAGCTTTGGTTTTGGCGTGGGTATTTGCTTTCCCAATATCAGGAAACGCATTCGACGGTAAACGAAGAAAAAAAGGGGGATGTCCTAACACCTGTTCTGTAGGCTAGCAGCTTTGCGATTTTGTCATGGTCTTTTCCCGGGTCTAGCCCACGCAGACGTCGTCGCGCGGAGAAGGAAAGCAAGAGGAAGACCATGTCTGCCTGAGAGGTTAGTGAGTACAATCACAACGCAATAACTTTATTTAAAAACGGAGACGTAATAACCTTTTACAGTTTTCTAACTTACCGCCCACCGGCTCTAGTGCCGAACAGCTGTGCGGGATTATTTAGTTGTGGCATCATGGCTGCAAGTAAGTTTTATCCTCTGTAATAGTTCAGTTGGTATAAAAATTACGTACTCTAGTGCGGATCTGAGGGTAGTTCAAGGATGGGGGGGGGGGGGGGGGGGGTGCGACCACCCTAAAAGGTAAAACGGCGATTTTTAAAAATTGAAAGTTGGGAAAAAAACCACACAAAAATTTTTAACATTTACACGACGAAAAAATTCTATTAACTAACACAATTTATAAAAGTATTTCAAAATTTTAATATTGCCTTAAAGGTT